AATTCTCCATAACAAAAATGAATAATTGTCGAGGACAGCGTAACCGCGTACCCTCGAAAGTTTGTAATGTATAAGATTGGGAAGTATTGCCCCCAGGGTCCCAACATATGAGTACCGACTATACGAAAAGTTCACGTTCGCGCGAACCGCTTGGTCGGCCAAATGCAGCTCAAGTCAGATCCCTTAAATCAATGACGAATAATTTAAGATAGTCCTTGATCTGAAAACGACCGCGTTTCATTAGTGTGTGCTAGAATTGCGGATTCGTTTTTACCTTCAATTGATCATACTACGAATGCAGTGTGTTGCAGAAACGCGAAGACGCCTTCAAATACCGATGTGGCTCCAGGCATCATTTAATAGCACATTGTCAAATGAAGAGGTTGAACTCTAGAAGCAAGGCCCGTTATAGAGTCGACAAAGCTTTCGTTAGCAACTAAGTAAGAAGCGCTGCTGCACGTACTTCAACTTGAAGTCAACTCGCGCCGCTCTGTCGTGTCGGAATAGTACAAAAAGAAAGCTACACCGAAAGTATCACTTACAAGTTTCGTTATACGAACTTAATCACAAAATTATATGAGTATGCTACGTGCTATTAGGACCTTTGCTTTTCTAGAAGATTTCACTAGCGGTGAGCGTGCTAGCTCATTTCGCGTGCGGGCTACGATCGACAGTTAGCGTGTAATGATGTCATTTACGCTTGCTTCGATTCCATTGTCACGCCCGGTGTTAGGTCTACAATTCGTTTCTTAATCGGCCCATTAATTAATATACGCCGTTAGTATTACTACTATTGCTATTGTTATTTTCGGATGTTACGGCCTTTCTAAACAGAGAGAGAGAGTTCCAACGAAGGAACACAGAGCATCTTTTGAAAATAAGCACGTTATTGCTGTTGCCATACTGTATATACTGTTGCCAGGTCTCTACTCAGACCAGAACCGCTGCGAGTGTTTGCTGATCGTAATTACCTTCCAATGGTTATCAAAGTCTCTCCGATGGCGATCGTCCTGTCTACAATGAACATTTGGTCCCTGACAAACTCTTTCGTACAGTTCTTCGATACTGCACAATGATGTCACATAATAAGATAAAGATTGGGCGAATTTGTGCACAGCCGAAGTTCCACTACTTTAACAGTTTTGTTGAAGGAAGTGAGGCGTATGCTTTGGTATTCGATGCAGTCGTTAGAAGAAATTTACTTTTCTTGGTAGGCTTTCAAGGGGCATGGCCTGTTGTCGGGCAACAACGAGCCCAGGACCGGTTTCACTAAGATGGAAGTGGACAAGTGAAACACTGCCACCCACATAGTTTGCCATCTTCGTCGACTAATTTGTGTTCGATCTACCTCAGACAAAATTCAAGCAGAAAAAGCGTCTCGAGCAGCCCGTACGATGCAGAACAGGGTGATTCACATGCATTCATCATTCTTACATATAAAATGCATGTAGAAATGTTTTAATTGATTAACTGACCAAAACGATCGACAGGCTTCTCTCGTTGTTCTTAGAGCCCTGCTAAGGCTAGACTCCTTAGTGGCTTGTGAAACTTTAAAGCCTTATCTCATCTCACGGCGACAACGCTTATTAGAGTCGTCTGCGTGCGAATGTGCCGAAAGGCCAGAGATCTATAGGCTAGACAATAAAAGGAACTAGTAAATCAACTGGTCAATGAATGTACTTTTCTCTATATTGCTTTCTTTTTACCTTGGGCACGGCCAACAAAACGCCTATAGGCACACACAATCGTGTCTCGGTTAACTGTAAATTTGCTAATAAAGTCCTGATACGGGGCAGGAGGTATTAGACAATGGGCCGCTATTTTTCACGGCGATCAGATCCAGTCGGATTCTAAATGATTTTTTTTTTTCGGAAAATTACAAAAAAACAACAGTTTCGGTTGTTGTTGCGCTGCTGTGATGGCTGTGCCACTGTCAAGATCGTTCGTCGTTGTTTGAGGCCGTTTATCTGTCAGTAGCGTTAATAACCGTTTCGAACAGGTGAGCCAATCATGGTCAGATGTAGATAATGCTTGTCCCCATCAGCACAGTCTGTTTACAATGTGTCTGCACGTCTTTTTGCTTTTGGCAATGGAGATGATGAGCCCGCTAAAAAATAACGAGACATAGCAGAGAAAATTCTGCTGGATGAGACCTAATCGTCAAAGATCTAAAAGTAGAAAAGGATGAAAACGATAACTATGAAGGGATTATAACATGCTTGTTTCCATTGCAGACCATTGTCATTATCTCTTAGCTTAGTTTCGTTCAAGAGACCCGGCGGATTTGGCACAGAGATAGAAGCTGAGGCTACCTGCACCGACAGTATATAAATGGAACTTTGAATAGGTCTACGTTTGATTCTATTTTTCGTGTTCTATTTACATAAAGTTCAAATATCCATCAAGCTTCTATTTATATTTGTCACTTAGTTAGGTAAGCTAGATTGATTTATGTTCAATTATAATAGGGTTTGTTTTGGCTCTCTTTAGCGTTCTGCCATGTTATTAATCACTGTGAGAAATGTAACTAATTTACTAAAAGGGGTTCATAGACATGAAAAGACGAAATATAGCTGGATTCTATCACTGCATTAGACGGAGTTGTCTCTTACCCGTAATTCAGTCAAAGGCCCAGTTCCCTATTACATCACATAAAGCGGACCAACAGGCAGGACTATCCGGGGAGAAATTATCGATTTATCAGTATTACTATTCGATACAAAATTAGTTCCAACAGTCAATATGCATTAGTATTTCTATACATGCATATTTCCTTAATGTACTTTAATATCAGGAAGAATGAAAAGCAACTATTTTGGTCGTTTTCATTTCTGGAAATTCATTCATCGTTCAAGTTTCTGTTGTGACCAGCTATGTTAACCTCAGAGAAGTCGATGATAAGTCGCTGTTCGAAACGGTCATGTAAAGAAGCTAATGAAGTAACAACAGAAAACCTAATTATCATTATATAAACGAGTTGAACCAATTCCTCAGATCTCACAGGATGACCTCACAGGAGCCTTCGTTTCTAGATTCTGCCCGTCAACCCTGTCGGTACAAGTATTTATTAGAAAATCTCTTGGCGTTGACGAGGTCCCACTTGCCGTTTCTTTTCGAAATCTTGTCTCTCTTAAAGGCTTAGCTCCTCCCGTAAATAAAAAATTAATCAACAAGCAGCAGAGCATGTTATTTGCATTGTGCAACCCTTATCGGCCACGTCAGCCTCTGCGGCTCAATTCAGCCAGCTACGACTTGCTCATCACGTTGTATGGACGGACATTTAATTAACTTAAAACAACATTTTATGCCCTTTGCTAGCAGAGAAAGACGACTGTAAATTTTTTTTAATGTTATACCTCAAAAATATATCGAGATCACGCATACGCATTGCGTCTGCATCGAATTGCCTGCACACATAAAAGCTCGCAGCAAGTTCGTCCCCTCTCTAACTTCCATCTAGTTGATAGAATGCGGAGCACTAGCTCGTAAGTTGAGTCGATGAACCACTCTCTTTGTCTACTGAGTATCGGACTACCTTTTAATGGGAACACGCAAAAGAAAGACGAAACGTGAAGGAGCATTTTAAGAGACAGGAGAAGGCAGACGAAGTAGAAAGTCGAGTTTGTGACGAATTTAGGCGGGTCTGCGATGGTAATTCTGTTGTTATCGTTTTCGGCATGTGTCACATCATTGTCGCGATCTGAAGACTGCACGTCGGTAGGAACATGGCTGCAGCAAACAAACTGCTCGTGAGCCAAGAAAGAATCTCGTTTAAAGTCGAAAAACTCGCCTCTACGAGTGCAAAATGAAAGGTAGTCAATGCTACAATGTACGATGATGTAGAAACGGGTTGGTGCTCAACGATCTCTAACGTCGAAATGTCCTTCGAATGTAGGGAGGGGCGAGCTGAAATACACAGACAGACTTCAGCTCAGGATAACAATAAAACGCCTGTGCAAAGACTCGGTACATGCGATACCTTGAAAAGACGCTTGAGTGCACACAGGCAGTCTGCCTTATGAATTTAGACGCGCCTAATGTTTTTTTGTTTTCGGAATTCAAAGGCTGACGATGAGTTTACGCCTCTTAACCTTCATATGTATTTTTAAGAGAACAAAAATATTTTGTATGTATATATGTGAACGAAAATGTTTGAAATCGCTCTCTAAGGTATGTTATGTAAATGTGTCGTTGACGCAGTCTCTACTGTAATATAAACCTAAATACTGTCATAGATACTTGATTTAAAAGCTGTATCAATTCATGTAAAATAAGTGGCTAACTTATAAAGCCGGTACAAACAGAGACGAAGGTTTTTTGCAGGTAGCATTTACCTTACAAGTAACTTATTTTATGTATATTACATGTGTAGTGTGTTATTTTCGATGTGAGAAGCAAATGTTTTTACTTGCATGGCTTCTGGCACGGTTTTCCGTATATTCAGCATTCGTCTATCTAATGCAATATTGAAGAAATTTCAAATACTTTCGCTATTTATCTTGCCATTCGGATCCCCCAGTGTTTAATGTGTGTGAAATATATATTACTATATGTTCCGATTCACCGTTAAAGAGCGGGATGGGAAAACTATTTACACATCTCATGGAGGCCTTTTTGTTTGATCCCAAATCGCATCAGACTCAGAATACAATGTTCACAGTTCGGATTAGGAAACCTCTCATCCTTTACGTAAGCTTAGGCACTGTGTCTTCGCTGCTGGTCGTTTTTCTGTTAGTTTTGTTGCCGATAAGCTTTAACGGCAATTTTAAAACTTTGTGATTCACTGAAGACCGCTATAGTGTGTTATTATTATTACTAATTTATACGACTATTATATTATGCATACTCGTAGTGATCTCGAAGGTACATAAACGTACACAATGTTAGCCGGTATCTAATCACCTTAGTCTACACCAGGCGGGTTGTTCGGTACGGAGCAAACAGGACAGATTAGATGTTTGCAAGGTATTTTGTAAATCTATCATTTTCGTGCATCTCACCTCGCTATCTCAATCGGCTCCGTCGATTGTTTGAATTTCCGGCTGCTGCCTACCACTACCAAACATTCTGCATTCACTGTTCCTTTTTTTTCTTGGTCAAAGTCCACCACTCCAGGACACCATAGGAGCGGAGGCAAAGAATCTTCAGTGCGTATTCCAACGATTAGGTTTGCGATCCTTAATGACATGAATCAATGCCAATAAGTAGCTTCGTTTGCGTTACCATCACGAAATTCAACATATTACAGATGTGTAATGCTATATGAGTCCAGGTGGCCGTTAAACAGTTGGCTTGATGGTAAAGGTTTTTTAACGCCAACACGTTTCAAACAACTTGGACAACACTTTCACACACTAATATAGAATGCTTCGTACATGCAAACTGGTAACAGCTCTTGCTTCAGCTATTGTTGCTGTTAGTAATTTCTTGTGAAGGCGTCAGCAATGATCTTCAAATTTTCCTTCACTCCGATTCATTCGCGAGAAGATTTGTATACGCTGTCGCAAATTAAAATGGATTCGTTTTTGCGGTCTCTCAGGAAGTGGGATGGTTGTCGTTGTTGCTGATTCGGCTGCCAGATGTGGGCTAGCGCGTGTCTTCTTCAACTCTCCGCTCTAAAACGCCCAAAGGGGTACACCCGGGGCAGAGGCCAAGGTCGGGCACAGATGGCCCAAGAGGATGTTTTATACTGTTTATTCTTTCTAACCAAAAATAAAAAAGCTCGGGAAAAGCACCAACGAAATGCAGACGAGTCCGTGGCTTTGAGTTTGGAACTCGGGCGTTCGACCAGGTCGGGATGTCTAACTGCACAATCTATCAACCGCTACTAACTCTACTTTTGTTTATAGAATACAATGTGTTTTGCAAGAAGATGCTCGGCTTTGAACCGCTTGAGATATTGCCGTGAAAAATTAAATTTCACTTATGGATCCGGTCAAACCCCCCAGGTTACTTGGTCCTCGTGGGTGTGCGATCATAACGAACCCCTACGGACAAATACTTTAATTTTCCAAAGAACTAGAAACAAAAAATGCACTGGTCATATCCGGCAATTTTCCAATTGCCCTAAATATGTTTTGTATGAAGTCTCTGATTTTCACTTGATCAGGGCTAATTGACGGACGATGATAATCATCACACTCATAACTGCGAAGCACATGGCACACATATGTTTGGTATACTATTGTTGAAGACAATATCCGTGTTTAGTAAGTATCTGCACTCGGGGCGTTCGCTTCTGAATATCGGGCACGAATACCGAGGCGCTCTGCATTGGAAGCCTTTGCTTACGCTTTTACTGCAGAAGCAGTCACCTTTACTCCTTCAACCCGGCCTAGTCTTGATGCCGGCCTGGGGCTTTCGCTTGGTGTTCTAATACTAATGTTATTGTTGTTGTTATTCGTTATGATCGGCGAGCTTCGATTGGTTGTGGCCGGTTTTACATTGTCTTTGGCGGCTGGTACTTATCACCAGCGATGCCTTTAACGAACAATCTGAGGTTCCTCCTCCTCCTGCCAGACGGTCGATCCGTCTGAAGAGCCGGTAGTTGCGCGCACTGTTCGCTGCCGTCAAGGGTCCCCGTTTCAGATAGGGTGGAGCGATCAGAGGACGCAAGTATCAGGATAATGGATGGAATATCAGTGTGAAGCCAGTATATTAGAACCTAGTTTTTCGATAATAACTGTATCGCTGTAGGTGTACTGGAATATTCAGATTCGCTGGATACAACCAGACCGTCTATCTCATATACAAGCCAAGAAGCTGATTTGGATCGCCAATATCTGAAGGAAACCGTTTACAGCCGCAATCGACATCATACTGGTTGGCCCCCTGAATTCATCCTTAAAAATTATCGCTCTGCTCATATACTATCCAAAATATACTACCACATACGATTATGTGCGTTGCGTGTACGCCGCATCTCCTCATGAGCCAGCAGAATCGATGACTAGTGGTGCCCTCTATGGAGCGATGTTGAAATTATGTGTTGGTCCGATAGATTGACTGAACTATTCAGATGCTGGCTGTCCCTAGAACCATATGCCCTACGTTTTTCGTTTTCTTTGCGAAGTCGTCCTCTTTTCTTTTTGAACTTTTCTTATGGCCGATCTAACGTATCGTCGCTTGAGCGTAATGATTTATCAATCTTTCTAGGCACAACACTGTATATCGTTAATATTGTTTGATAGGCATTGTTTATTATGAGGGCATTGCACGGATAAGAGGATCACACGTGCCAAAGTCGATCTTACCATAGTCGCCTTGTGGTTCCTGTCTGCCGTGGTTGAGTTAGTTAATAAAATCATACTTAGCCAGCTAGGTTAACTTAACTGATGGGAACCGTCAATAAGTGGATGGGAAGGCCACTTGTCGGAAGCTAATACGACCCGATCAAATGGCTAGTAACAATTAAGGATTGCGAGTTTTGGGCGTTTAGTTGGTCACCGCGATTACAGCCGGATCAAACAAGGCCTTGTCTAATGTTAAGTGATCGTTTTTGTGGAGCTTGACCGCTCGCCGTTATCGAGAGGACGTCGCCATGACGTACATACTCGACTGTTACTGATGATTGTTTGACGTTTGCAAAAATTTCGGTGCGGGCCTTTTTGCGTAGCTGACTGCTAGCTATCCTTTGCACGACAGGCCTCAGTATCGCCATGCGGCACTGCTTCGAAGAGCTGTCGGAATACGGGGCTTAATACGAGTAATTGCAATGTGAGCCGGAAGCGCTAACCGGCTATAAACAAAGTTAACGTGGAATTGTTCTAACAAAAGATGAAGAGTTAGCCGGCAAAAATGATTTTATCACGAAACTATTATTCTCGTGCATATCCTTATGTACATACATCTTCGTACACATACTTATTAGGACTTCGTACTGTCGAGATTTAATGCTTCTATGCTTTGCACCTGAAACAACCTTTCACAAGTAATTATGAGCGTTGATTATCGTGAAAATTTATGTGGAACTATGGGCAACGGAGTGCACCAAACTGTGGCAAACACCACGATATAGATCCGATGCTACTGAATTTCTAATGAATAGCCGCATTGAGAATCTGTTGTTTCTCTAAGAACTTCTTCTCGTCCTGTTATTGACTGTCGACTGCTTGCGCTTCTCATTGTGTGACCCCAAATCTACTTTTTCTCTCGACAGTCGAAAATATCGGCAGATCGTCAGACACTTAGACAAACGTCAACAGTACAAGTAAAAGCGGACGCGAGGCGGGATAACGACGGTTGACAGTGAAACACCGGATGATTATCGACGAGCATTAGCAAGCAGTCGGTATGTGAAGAATCCAGCATCACGTCCCCATTGCCATAGTCCGGTTTTCCGCTGCAGATTCCTAAAGATCACTACCGTCATTGTCACCGCGTGCAGCATCAAGACGACAAAAGTCGCTCGCTGTTACCAGGCGAGGACCGGTCGACTGCTAGAGACTGCGACGAGCGAACAATACGAATACCAGTGGCAGAGAATTCGTTCGTAGCAAGTACATGCTACAACGGCACAACGCCGTCTGCTACGATATCGTATTTTTAGTATGAGTAGCGGAACGCGCAAACGAAGCGACGATTAAAAATGCAGAAAATCCCACTAGAGTTTCGTAGGGGTTTAAAGGAACGATAACATGGGAACGGCGTGTTTACTGGCGTAAATTCGTACTGCGTACGGAGGCTAGTGCTTTGCATGTGTCGCCTACAGCTCAGTTTAGAAGAAATCTTCCAAGTCATAAGTATGTAAATGTTTCAAGTTTTTCATTCGATACTGCCGTTAATTAGTTACTTGAAACTTTAATCTGTTATGAAGTTCAATATCTGGTTGCTGCTGTATAACTTCAGAGCTTTCTTAGGCATATATTGACCTCAGACAGCTTCAGGGAATTTGCAAGAAGCGTAACGGAAATTAGTTGATATACAGAAGATATGATTTTTTAGCTAATTAATATCTTTCTTGGCTACTACGTTCCTAATGCTGCCACGTACGATAGATTCAGTCATGTGTTCAAATATTTCGATAGTTTAAAACGGCCCAGAAGCGCACCTGCTTTTCATGTGAACACATTTATTTGTTACCGTGTATCATTTGCGTCCCGTAGAATCTCGTTCCTCAATAGAAGTTTACTAACTATTTCTGTACATTTTTACATGGTCATGGGCAATGGTTTTTCTCCTACTTGCTCTCTTTCGTCCTTCTGTGCAGTAGCTATCTACGATATAGCCATCTGAGCTACGCTACAATGCTCTGAGAGAAACACCAAAAAAATGAAGATCCAATAGCCCCGAAACGCCAGTGCGACCGATAGCATAAAGGTAGGCATATCAAGCAACATCGGCTTTTGCCATCAGGCAATAAGAAAAACAGCAAGAGGAAACCTAATGAAATTACCGGAGGCTCTGCATAACCTGAAATAAATGTGAGAAGCAAACTTTTTCGATGTGAAGAACTTCCTTCGACTGAACTGATTTGTGCAACCCGACGTATAACGATGATATCTTCGCGCTCTGTGAGGTCCCGATTCTTCTTGCTCACACTCGATCCATGGCCAGAAGTTCTGTCGGAATTATATGAAACAACCTGGTCTAAAAAAGAAATTACTCAATATAAAGTACCGAGCACTAATATATTAAGAACTGCTAACCAAGATGTACTTTCTTGTACTGCACTATTATTTTGTCTATGACGAAGGGTCCCCTGTACGGGGAAGAGGCACTACGAAACGCATGTCAGTTCTTTCTATCACATTCCTTTCCGATTTTAGATATTCAATAAAGCTTAGCAAACGTTGTCCTTAAGCTCTAACAAATTAAGTAATAAATTAATTGTAAATTAAGATTAAGAAAAAAAGGCTTTTTAGTCTCTTCTCGCCCCATTAAGTTGCATAAAGTTTTCCAAGAACATACGTGCACGTTTGAAAGCTCCGAAACAGACCCGCACATATATAGTAGTAACCATGAGACGGCAGTACATACCATAATTCGCTCGTCACACGTTCGAAAACTGGCTTCACGCAGCTTGACTTGTATGAACGCTAAGTTCTACGAACATGTATATAATAGCTATAAACTAAGCTAACTTACTTAGTTTATAGCTATCTGCTTAATCAAAGCCTTCTTAGCATAGAGGGCCAAATTGAAGTTAAGATGCAAGCGCGAAGACAATGTGATGTCAACAGCCACATTGTCTTCAGCAGTACAATTTTCCTCAAGGTTTCGGTGTGCAATCTCCAACAAGGGTACATCCGTGCGTGATAATCTGTGCGTTGATGGCCATCCGTAGCTCTAGTTCACTTTTGTATTTACCATTATTAAGATGAGCAAAACGCTTAGTATAGTATACACAGCCTGTAGCCGTATTGTTCGTAATAGGCGAGTAACTATAAGTGATTTTGACGTAGTCTAGATGGCCCAGCAGTGCCATGAGCAGAATTTAACTTAAGCATAGGGGACTCGTTATTAAACGGTTTCTCCAGAGTCAAAGCTATGCTTAGCCTGTGCCCTGCAGCAATGACGGTAGCAGGAGTAGCTATAGCGGTAACAGAACCAGATAACATTTGAACGCTTTGAGACTAAGAAGCTGGATTTTGTTATCCGTCGCCATCGTCCGCTACGGCACCACTACAATGAATGCGTCTGGCAGTCCGAGACCCGACGTATCTGGAGAGCGGCCCCAGAAAAGGCTATGCATAATCGCGCATATGCTGCGGACTAAATGTTTTACCCAAATTAGAAAACATTTCGGAGAAATTGAAGATACTCGCTTCTGTTGCCTTGAGCGAGGGCAAAACGTAAAAAACAAGTCATGCGAGACAAATACACAAGTTGTTACTACATTAACCGCTACCCATGAGCGGCGCTGTTTAAACGTTCGAAAATGCGACTTGACGGATTTTCATTTAGAGCATACAGGACTGCTACTAATTACTACTATATATGGGTTCGATATGTATTCTTCGCATAGGCTTAGATTTTTTTTTTGTCATCGTTTTCGGTATATTACTTACGTGATCTCTTTACGGAATTATATTCCGTAAAAAATTCACTAGTATTTCATTTATTTTTGTTACCACATATGTATCACTTTACACCAGATCTTTTGTTTTTCTGCTAAAACTGCCCTTACGATCTATGAAATGTATGACCTCCACTAATTATGCCTTCAACTACTCTCGGCTTCCTACTCTACATTGTGCACCTACTTTTGTCTAATTAGAATTATTATACATGAAAAATTTATTAGATCGATAAACTTCGTCTATGGGTCTATCTGGAGGACGCTTTATTAACTTATCGTTTAAGATAAAAAAATTTTATATCGGCTATAAAGGAAAGAATCCAAAATTTAACCAATTTAATTTGGTAAAGCTCTAAAGTTTAAATAAGGAGCTTGATATTACTTGGACATTTGAGTTCCTGTTTTGGCGTCAATTCATCTATTGCTACTATTGACACATCTCCTGCGTAATCTGCTAGGGCGACTTTTATCAAGAATTTGTGTGTTATCTTTTTTTTTTGGAACAAGTAGAACAAGAGCAAACAGTACGTATAAACACATCTTCAACTTTTATTGATATTTTTAAGTGCTTAATTTTAGAAGCGGTCTCCTATTGTCTTATACTCATTTTGACTTGGCACGTGCATAGCTAGCATTGAAGCTATGTACGTGGCTAGTTAGCGGTTTTTGCAAAAGTACCATAAAAATGTTGCAGCGATTCTGAAATGATGTTTGCTGATATGACTAACGAAGTTGCTAGAAAATTATAGATACTTTTTACAGAAATAACTTGTGAAATATCATAACGCACAGTTCTACCCTTAACGGGAAGCAAAATCTAGACTACGCCCCAGGTCTCAAGAACGATGAAACTAAAGAAAAAAAAAAGCTAGACGATTTATCGTGAATTTTTTACACGATTTTCTAAGCTCGCTCTTCGAATATTCAATATAATATTGGGAATTTTATACAGCTGAAGAAAAAATGTATATTTATCTCTAAATTGAAGACACCTACTGCTTGTCGGGTACACTAATGGATTTTTCTATTCCTCTTATTTTCGTTGTTATTTAAACAAATCATTTATCAAATACAAAATCTATTGAAGCTTTTTGTTTTTGTTTCCTCAAAGAGCTGAGGAAATTCCTTCATCTTTATCATTCTCTTTCTTGATGTAACATTTCTATAACTTTGCATCAGTTAAGTTTCCTTCGCGCGGAAACCTGCTATATACAGCAGCATATACAACTCTAGATAAGTTCGGTTATGGTTCTGTACTGCCTGGCAAAACCTCGTATTTTCTTTACGTGAATTTTGTTACTGTTTCCTTAGCTGCCAGAATCGCCAGTTCGTATTTACGATTTATTGTGTTGTTGGGCTTTGTTAGCCCGCTGTTCCGCTAGATAACGAAAAACAAATACGATACTAGAGTGACCAATTGCCAAATCGTTTTTAACAACTTTGTCTCTTACATGTACAAATGTCTCACATCGCGCTATGGTAAATTTTACCGTGACTTGCCACTTGAGGGCCAAAACAATATGGGATAATGTGCGTTTCTTCATTGTAATGTATTAGTTGGTTTTGCTTTTTGTCCATCGCTAAAGTTCTTGTTTCTCCCAGATGCTATTTAGTAATACTGCGTAGTGTATGGGCTGTAAGCTGTTCAGTGCTGGGACCCCACATTTGGGGTTCACTTAAATGTACCATTTAGAACCATTTCCGAGCCCGTCGAGCTTCCACTTCTACTAGCGTTTATTCTATCCTTAGGGGGATTATCCTATTAGGGACATAAGACGCATGTGATTATTCGAAATGACCTAAAATAGAGCGCCATCTATGCGTAGAGGACGTTTTTTCTCAAGCGTAAAGCAGTCACAACATTGTATGAGGTGAAATGAATTCACGGCCTGGTTACGTGCACGGACAATACATATTGAAATAAAACAGCGGAATAGAAATCAACAATAGCCATCGATATGAACGAATGATCCGAATAGACATTACCGCATTCGTTCTGCTATAGATAAAAAAAAAATAATGGCGCGTCTGGTTCTTTAGCTTTGATTGATAAAACATTGGGACAACCCATCAGGCGCTATATGCTAATATTAGACGCCGTTACGTTACGTTAGTATGCCTGGCACTGGGTTTTAGGGTGTTTAATTCTGCTGTTTAATGTTATGGTTGGGTCTAACAGTTATTTTTGTCATAATGACCACTGAAACGTTAATTTTATATCATAGTGCTAACAAGTACGGTGGTAGTAAGGGTTTATAGTAAGAAAGGACTTGTTAATGTATCACATTTTACTCGTACTCGCTCCGCCAATTAGGACACTCTTCCCTCCACGACAGCATCACACACGACCGTCTCAAACAGCAGGCGCTTGCGATTGTGTGCAGAATATTTCGAAAAAACACGTACCAAAGGCATGAGCGTATGAATAATTAATTATTCATGAAAATTGCATTATTATAAATATAGGCGATAAGTATTATGACCAAACATTTGTTGCCCACCTCGTTTGGCCAGGAGTCATTTGCTGTTTCGGGAGATATTATTTTAACGTGGAATATCGTTGTGAAAATACTATAATACAGGTAGTTCGGATGTTTGCATAGATACTTCTATAATGGGCGAAAATTTCAGAGGTCTATCTGCTGTAGCGCCTCATAACTTCCCAAGTTGTGTCATAAAAAAACAAAAAAATACTTAAATATGGGCTATATATATATATATGTATATATATAATTGATATATCATCCAGATACGTTCAAAAATCAGTCAAATTCAACGCCCCTTGTACATAAACGCTTGCCATTTGGACAACATTCGAAATCTCATTCCAAAAATATTGCGTCTAAAAATTCATATATCCTAGCTGTCCTCTGTTCCTCCTCTTCCTGTCATTATATTTATGGTAATGATTATTACGGTTATTGTTTAATTGGTGTCGATCTTTCATATATATAGATATATATATATCTATATATTTGTTCATTGGAACATTGTCGATAGTTGGTTTATGTCTCGCCGTGTTAAATCTTATCTTAGTGCAACTTTTCTCTATGAAAGTCTCTCATTTTTATCTGATTTATACATTTTTTTCTGTGTGATTCCACATAAACTTAGTGGAACATTATTTGCTCTGTCTTAGCCGTCACCAATACAAACTACAATGAGTACGTGCTGCTCCTAGCTCCCTGTAATTTCAATCAATGAAATCCTTCTCAATAGCTAAATTATAATTTGACCTTCTACGACCTTGTCGTTTTTGGCTCCGAAGTTCGTCGGTTTGCCATAGCCTGAAAGAACTTTCAGTAGTACATCTATATATGTGTATATATAGCACTTCGTTGTTGTTTCCGTTCTTGCGGACTATCTATTCATAGCGCTTGTATGAGTGAACTTCTGAATACTGAACTTTCTGAAAGAGCCAAGTTGGCCTACGATAGCTATACTCTGATATAAAATATAACATTATACATTCTCCTGATTTTCCTTAGTAGAATTACATATGCAGCCATGCGCTTATTCAGTTACACCTGATTGTTACGTCTATGTTCACAGACAGATATTTATATATTAATAAGGTTTGCTTTTACACAGAAGGACAAAATGTTATTACTCTCAGACAATAAAAATCGACAGACACGTAAAAGTAATAAATAACTTTGGCACAATCATTGTCCCTGATTGTTGTGGGGTCTCAATGACAATAAACCGAAAGCTTTCAGACGGTTACCGGCTTCCTGGCTTTACCTCTCTCATTGCACAACACTTACAGGTCTTTCTTGTTTCTAGTAATAAATTATCTTTAATTTATTTTCAGGCTCGTAACACCCAGGGGACGTGTAGCGACGACTCGCTGAGGGCGCGAGTCATATTCACTGGCATTCGTGCACATAAATAATGCTTCTAAAAAATAAAAAGTTCTTCCTTAAGTTTCCGACACGATCAAAGTTAAACAAATCTCTAAAATTCTAGACGTCTGTATTCTTATATACCCGAATATATATGTGCTTATATCTAGAAAGCCTTCGACGTTGCGATCTTTAGAGCAAACTGCTAGGTAGATACCATATGACGTTTTCTATACGCTGAATGTTATGTGCTTCTGGTGCTATTATTATTCTACCTCATTATTAGGAGCTTTCAAGTTTATCTCATAATTTTCTTATATACAAGTATACAAGTTTTGTACAAATGCTACTTGAATACAACTTATGGTTACTTATTACTAGGCACAAACATTTACTGAGTTTCTAAAGAGTCGTATGTGGCACCTTTAAGTATCATGGGTGGTGCAACGGAAACAATTCAACGTACACCCAGCACGTGTAGCAGATCTTCGTTCGAGCCCTCCTGAACAGTTCCCGGCTAGATTTAAATTTCCGGTTAGAATTTTACAAATAAATTATATGGCATTGTAACTAAGTTATAATGAAATTCGTTTCGCGAATTTTATGGTCAAAAGTTAAGTTAGCTGTCCGAATGGCACATGGCACAAAGGCCATTAACTTATATCGATCATAATAATTTACAGTCGGTCACGGGAGGGGTCAACAACTAAACGGCTGTTTCACAAGATAGTATTGCTCGTCATATCTTATTTATCCATTATCACAAGAACCATATCGTAATACCAATGTGCCTTTAAAGTAAGTACTTTTTTGTACACAGATATCTTTAATATAATATTATTATATATACACCTGCATTTACGTATGGGAAAAACGTGCGCGGCTAGGACGGTCGCCGATGTGCTACCTTTCGGTAAATTTTTTATTTCCAACATCAAATTTTTAGACATCACATGTGACTGTAGAGTAATCAATGCCGATAGAGTAGCTTTTCTTAGCTTTATACTAGCAGTTTTTTTTTACGGTTGCTGATAAGATGGCAGTGAAGACAGTGCTTGCAGCTATGAATCATTCTCCTACTTCTTATTATCTACTTCATTTTTAGCCATAAAGCAGTGAAATCGTTTGATTTGTCAATTAAGGCCAAAACAGGATCAATAATGTTCTGTACACCATTATCCACTGAATCATTACTATTGTTACAAATTGTTAATACTAATATTCCATGACGAATATCCTAATATATCTATATACTCATAGGATCCCTTACGTATTTAAGCACAATCCAATTGAGGGTTTACAAGGGCGAGATTAACTTGCTGCTATCAATTTCCTGTAAATTTCGCCCTGGCTTCTCTTCTGACTGATCCATAACTAAGATTATAGATTGCCCTATTATTGTTCGGAACTGTTCGTTTACATAGATGATGTGACCTCCTCGATGACGTCCACAGAGCAGATAGCAGCTTGTGACGGTCGATGAAAGAGAGACCTTCTTGGCGAAGTGCGTCTGGGTAGTGGGGGCGATCCGTTCAGGTCTTCGTTGGTCGGGACCAGTCTCATGCAGTTAGGACAATGATCGTATGAGAAGGTCACATTTCCACCTGCTCCCCGGCTAGAATCGTACCCAACGGGAACTACCGGATTTTGAATCGAAGCTCTGGAAAAACAATGCGTAAAATTGTGAAGCGTAAGCCCTAACACCGAGGCACGTTGCCTCATCGCATGTGGATTATGGATATTGCTCATTTGGGCTGGGCACCGTTGACGGATAATTTGTAATCAGAATATATATATATATATATATATATATATATATATATATATATATATATATATATATTGATAGAACAAAAATGTATTTTGTGCAAAGTTTCTAACAATAAGTTTTACCATCGTCATACTTCTGGTTACTTGGACTATCTAATTTTAGTCTATATTCATTTCTGGTCTACGCACATAAACTGCCTTAGCAGACGCAAACTGCAACGATATGGATAGTCCATGGAGACTATGCGTAACAGCCATGAGAAACGCCAAATACTTTTCGTGTATCAATAACTTAAAAAGCAGCTGCTAACCTTCTGGCAGTTGCCTGGGCAATCCTTGTACGCCGTTCAACCTCCTGAGCCTGTGCCTTATTTAAATTATTTTCATATTCCGATAACATAAGATACTTTTCTTCCTTGTTGCACGAAGTGATGCAATCGTCAATCAGATCCTCAAACAGGTTATCCATGATTGCCTCCTGTGACGAGGCGGCAGGGGAGTAAGAAGAAAAATGTTTGAGGAATCAGTGAGATGTGCAGCGGCGCATGAGACCTTCTAGGTAGAAATTCACTAAAACAATATCATTTAAAAATTATAGGATATCTATGGGACATTACTGTTGCGAATAGCTTAGATATGTGTATACCTCTGAAATACAAGTAAGTTCCTGTCTTCTCAGATCGGCATAATTGCTGAACGTAAAGCTGCGTTGACTTTGCAGCAGACGAGGAAACATCACCATCGAATCTTGTACCTGAACGCAAGGCATTCATTTATAATCGTTAGACCGATGATCGTCCTATTTTCTCTATCCATCTTAATCCACCATGGCTTGTGTAATATATAAATATATTAACATATATGTGTTTCTTATTCATAGTATAATAAGCAATAACAAAAAAAGAATAATCAATAAAAATATTATTTTCTCATTATTTAAACAACGTATATAGTGATATTGCACGTCGACGGTTACCTACGGCCTGCTTAAGTTCGATTAACTCCCAAATATTAACTATCTTGCCATAGTGCTATGACTCTTAGGCAATTTTTTTAAGCCTCAATGTCCTCTAGACGTTTATGTATATTAGTTATTACATTGTAGAATAGGCGCATATCGATATCAGGATGAACTCGGCACACTGATAGCATGTATAGAACGCGTTTTAGGATACGATATCTTACCGAAGATCTTCGTGAATGGAGCCCGTTGGCAATGTCGCCGTTCGGTGCGTCCGAGCATCGGCGACAGTCTTTCCCATTAAGCTGACCTGAATTTAGGAGGGTTTTCGCAGCGGATGAAGACCGTGTCCTTTTGTGAACGTCGATCAGGAAGAGAAATAGTGAACCGGCCAAGGCGCAGCCCGCACTGACAAAAAAGCCCCGACGGTCCCCGTAGTAATCGTTCAGGAACGCTACATGGTGAATACCACAAAATTATTAAATTAAAGCTTTTTGGGTCGACAGTTACTTTTTGAGAACGAATGATTAGAAAAACACTTGTGCAAGACTTCTATACATGACAATGCTTAAGGATTGTTATATGAAAGATTCAGGCGTACTTTGGTATACTCAAACATATCGTTAGAAACCACATGCACTTTGTATTCTTCAGCGGGCCGGTTCCCGGTTTCATTTGGCTTCCCTGTTAGAACTGCTAAAAACGTTGGGTTTCTATATGAAGAGTTAAATTCGAAGGAATAAAATATCAAGTAATTGTCATGCGTACTTAGTTCAAATTCAAAATGCTGCTAGTTCATAGCAGTAGATACGAAAAGTACTATTAATTAAACAGCATAACAAGAAGAAAAGTTCGAGCTTGTTTACGTCGACTAAGGATCGTTCTACCTGTAACTGGTGGTCCAATGAGGACTGGGATCGCCTGTGCGCACTGTATGAAACCCCAGGCTTTCGCGAAGTTTCGAGCGCGCACTTTTTCCAGTGTGTACATCTTCAATGAATAGAGGTACGCCCCGTAAAATGAGCCATAACACCACACGAATGTCAGGTAGCCACTACAAAAAAACAGCACTAGAAACATTACCAAGTATGTGCTAGCCTAATTTCATGTTAAACTCGGTGAAGGTTGCTAGATCGAGCTTCTTTAAATTCTTCTACCAATTGTACATATGCATACATAAGATAATAGGTGTTTTGCTCTATCTAAAACACATACATCAGCATGAAAAGCACACTTTTTCGTTTAGGGTCCCTCCCTCAAGCTGGAGTTGTTAGCGCAGACCTTATCCAGTTCCATAAAAAATCTTTTTCGGTTCTATGTCTTCTCGCGTCTAGAAATAGATCCCCCCTATGGGGCAGCTCGGTAGTAACCCGCGTTCCTGCTAATCAAACATCAAGGGAAACCTACAACATATTTCTAGCCTGAATTAGCAGAGTACAACGAACTATCTACGCTAAACGGGATGATTCGGCCACAAAGATAGCAGATTTCACAACTGATCATAACAGAAAATTATAGGCTTTACCCAAAAAACAGAATAACGGTAAAACATTTGCTGGCCAATGGACTGACTGAAATCCTTTATGTATACAGAGATCCCTCGGATGCGGACGGCGCTTTTCAAATCAACAAAATCTATTGCAAACGTCGACCCTTTGAGCTGGATAGGACCAAACTGTGCACGTCAAAATGATAAAAATACACAATTTTTTCTCTTAAAAAGGTTGTTAGATTTTCTAACTGTAGCGTTAATAACAGCTAAATATGTACGGTAGTATAAACCTGAAATTTCACAGTTTTTAGCTTATCTACCCACTTTATAATACATATCCGCTTGCTTCATTATAAAATATTAGGGAAAGTGAGCCTATGTGGGACAAAGGCTGTGTATCCTTTTGTTTTCTTAGCTATAGTTCACTTAGCCAGCGAACGTTTATTTGAAATTCTAATATTATCAAAATTAAACATTTTTTTTTAGATGCCTCCAAGTCAAAAATTTTACACCACCGAATCTTTTTATCAAAATTTTTGAAAAGTAGAGCTATTTGGAACTGTTAAATACTTTTCTCGCGTTTTATAGATTTTTCGTGGAACAATAAAAAAACAAAACACCAAACCACTTTCCTTTCTAGTACAAATCTGCCTGTTCTATTTCAAAGTAAAAGTAGATTGAGTTACATGATTACCCTGGGAACTATATAGGTGAAGATGTACTAGGGCTATATGACTCAGGATCATTTTGAGCTTACATGGAACAAAATGTCGCTGATTGCTTATTATATAGAGAGACAGGAAGAATCATTGTTGCCTCTGAATACAGTTTTTCATCGTAGGCACATAAATTTATGTGTTATGCTAAATTAACGCATCGCACGTGTGTGCCATATCTCTAGAGTTGTTTGTGAAAGAACTTCAACGTCAGTGCTCTCAATTAAGCATGATCGAATAGGGGCGTTATTGCCCAATCAACTCATACGTTTCATTCCATTAATTAGCGCAAAATAACACATATACGATAATTACTTAAAATGGTCAGTCCATTAAGAGTCCACCCAAATCATGCTCATCAGGCTTTCACAGGTGTGTGTGTGTCACTTCAATTTCACTCGGCAAAGAACATAGTATAACGAACGTATCTTCATAGCGCATCGTCAGGGCTGTACAATATTGCCGACGCGTGCATCATATTCCTAAATTATTCTTTGAGTTTGTGTCGCTCTAGGCGCTATGTATTCGACGACAATTTGAAATCGTCCATTCTGATACTCCTCATTGACATTGCTCGTGCAGGAACGAACGGGATCACATGTCCTCATAGAAGGTCTGTACTGCTAAGCTGGTAGTGGTCTCAAAACGATATATATAGAAAAAAAAAAAATAAATAAAAGGCGGCTTGAGGCTGTGCAAGAAGGGGCTGTAGCTATTGCAGATAGAGGCGAATCCGTTACGTCTTTTTTCATCGTGTACTTGATGCATATCAGGAGCTATATTTAGCAGAATAGCTTAGCCAATACGCAAGGATTATGTAAAATTCTACCACGCTCAAGGAAAGGTCAACTGCGTATGAGTTTACTATATATCTAAATACAGACCTATCATACAATTCGTAACGCGGCCAGAATGCAGAGAAAGATAGGATGATGACTTTCATAGCACAGCACGTTTAGCTGTTCTTGAAGCAACCCGAAAGATGTTCTTTTTAAGCACAATGAACTTCGACAGGGAAGCGGTGAAAGTTTCCTTCTAGAATCCCAAGATATTTATGAACTCATACACTTCTACTTCTGCTTAAAATATCTTCAGTCTAGACCAGAAGTCTCTTTTAACGGCAATAGACAATTAGAAAAATTTGCCTCCAATAGAACGAAATGAGCTGCTCACATGACTTCACAAGAACGAGAGATCCCTATTACGACACTCGCCTCTGTGTCCATAGGTGGAAACAGTTCCGTCGTATGGAAAGAACATACCCTAACAGATATGCCCTTGGGATAACAAACAAAGTACTCGACAATACGTTGGACGTATTCAAATATTTCAATCTGCGTCCCGTTTATATATATAAATATACTAAAATACAGATGAAACGTTGTGGAGAAAAAGGCAAGGAAAAGCAAGCAACAGAGACAAAGATGACATGATCAATCGGTAAGCTATGTTGTTTAACTTTATAAAACGTTCCGACTCATGACTATTACCTTCCATAATACACACTAATTAATGTTTATTGTATTCTGTAGACGGAAGAACGCATGTCATTGGATAGGTCTCTTAGGTAACCAAATGGTTGAAACTTGGTAAAAATGGATTAACTTCGGCTATAATTCTACGAAATGTGTGTTATATCTGGTATAATATAGTAAGGTCAATAGGCACAGATAAAGCGTATAACGGTACGTTGCCCGTATGAGGTATAATTCTCAAAATAGCAAATTGGACCGAATCACAAAGACTGTTTCAAAAGACCAAATAAATTTCTTCGCTGATATCTATCTAACACTCGAGGGCTTATTCGTCCCGGGAAAAGCTGATTTCAGGACATCACACGAAAATCTTTATTATTGTGCTTGCTATGTATTGAACGTCTTAAAGGATAACAACAGGTTTTTTTCCTAACCTGCCCTCCCACGACATCACCGAGCAGTTCGCTGTGGAAGATGCCTCAAGGGGACTGAGCCCAATGAACTTATCACTTTCAAGTTACCAGTGAGCGATAATCTCCTTTGGCCAGGACATCACTGCTTCGTAGAGGCCTATTGAAAAAGTAAGCTTTGTTTAACTTAAGAATTTGCTATGGTCGGACAGGAGACAGTGGACTAAATGTACAACTTTTATACCGGAGGAACAGCATAACAATTATAGGTATGAAACTTTATTATAGGTTATTATTATAGGCTACTGAAACACCAAACGGTACCCATATTTAGAAGAAGCACTTCTATTTAATACGGTGAGTTCAGGTTTGGGTAACATTTTTTTTCGACTGGTTACGGCTAGCTGAAAGTTCGCCTGCGTCTCCATTATTGTTCAATGAGTAGAGCCGAAAATCGAATCCGAATGTACAGGTTTATAAATTATAAAGATTCAATTACGGGTCGCAATTGATAAGCGATAGATTGTTATTTAAAGTAAGTCGTGAGTAAATATAGCACAAATCTAGAATCTTGTTCAGAATAGCTACGTTTTCTTATCTGTAAATAGCATTATGTAGCAATAACTGATTGCATACTGTAATACCTGTAGTCATGTATTGTAGTGCAGAGCAATATCGAGACCGCAAGCAACGCACAGGCTCCTTGGCAAAGATACTGTCTGGCTATGTGGCAGCTGTCGGGGTTGTTGACAATAATGCAGCCAAAGGCTAGAGAGCCCAGGATGAACGACATCCCAAGAAACACCTGCAGGTACAATAAGGACGAGCGCGACAGGCCATCTTCTTCCGCTTGGTAGATCTGGAAAGGGTACACAACGTCATTTATGATCGTGCTGTTAATACGAAATGTCAAAGTGACATCGAGTTACATAATAGTTGATCTACCTCCTGCGGATCTTGCTGTGCAGTAAACTGGACCCAGATAGCACCAATTATTTAACACAATTCAACAAACAAATGTATCGAGAAACTGAAAGGTAATTCCCATACGTAAAATCTGCATTTTATCCCAAAATAGTCTTTATTAAGTCGCTACATATTTTGGTTTGTGGAAAGTTAGAGTAGACGTTACTCAGCGAAACGTAGAGAGAAATAGATAAAGATTAGAGAGCTTATTAGATTGCTCCTAAATCATTCCTAAGATATATTAGGACGAATTTGCGAAGAGTGCAGCCGCAAGGCTAACATATGTTGCTATGCCCTCATCGGCATCTAAATCGAAATTAGTTACCCAAGTTCTATTATTTGGCCAAAGAATTCGGTACATTGTCTTTGAGAGATCATCTGTCAACTAGCCATGGCCTGTTGAAATAACTGCTTCGGGTAAATCTTGACAGATCACTGAACAATCATAATCAGAAATCGTCGGACTGCTACAGGAAAGATAAACAAGGAAAAACTCTACTAAGCTAGTATTATAAGAAGAAGTAGACGTCTTATTTGGCTGGCCCAGTAATAAACAAGGATACGCAAGCAGACGTCCTGCGTCTAATGGGAACGAGTCAGTGAAGTAGACAAAGGCTCTCTGTTGCTACTATTTTGGCGAATACTTTCTAAGCATAGTCCAGGTACTATAAGGGTGTATCATGCATATGAATGAGGACACACTTCAGTAGATTCGATTTTAGCGCGGTAAACTTACCTATGGTGAAATATAAATCCAATTAAGCTGTCTGCCCTCCTTTGACGAGATGTATTTTTCTAATGTGTTTGTGTACGAGGACTAGGGATGGTTAATATACACTTACCCAGCTGTTCTGTGTTATCGTCAAAGAAGAATTCACCTACGCCTCCGAATGGCCTAATCACTTAATGGCAAAAAGGCCAACTAAGCGAAAAACTATTCTTTCTTTAACCGGATAGGTAAACTACAATCAATTAAATCAAAAATGTAGTAATCTACAACAAGCCTAAACGTACAATCTTTCTCGAATCAGGTGGCAAAAACTTTGCTCCGCTGTGAAATTACGCTATATATGTATTCTTTCGATCGACAAAAAAGCTCAAACGAGGCCTAACTATTAGGGTCCCTTCACGCCTGCACCTTCTCCGGCTCCATTCGTACCTGCAGCGGAAGCGGCTTAAGCCGGTGGCAAAATATAAATATGAGCTAAGTGGAGATATCGTTGTAAAGTAAAATATGCTTTCCTACGCCGAGCTTGTCAATATGCTCATCCCCTTATTATGTCAATCGGCAATTTGTAAGTTTGACAAACCTTTAGCTGTTTGCACAATTTGTTTAGGGGTTAGGCTTCCCTCTAAACTCTGTGTTTCGTCCGCTGTATTTCTTACATTTTTTTTTCTGTGCTTATTTGTGGCGGGTGTTTGTGCGATTAAACGACATGAGAACTTCGTATGTCTCGTATTTTCTTCGTCGTTAGTTGCCCTAAGCAAATTCCAACGGAAGAGCGAGGTGAATTATTGAAAATGTAACGGGATGATAACTGTCAACTACCTCTAGATTTCAATGTTAGAACTTGTGTTACACAAAGTTTTCATGTGCAAAGTCGAGCTTTAACTTGAAATTTACAGGGAAAATAAGGTTTGTGTCAGACGGATATAATCAATCCAATGAGGTAACACCAACTTAACTGGAACGGGACTACTGCAATTGACCTATAGGACGTAACCAATAATGGGAAAAAACTAATAGGATGACTATTCGAAGGTAACAGAGCCACTGAGAATGGTAATAAAGAAGTCGAATCAGAGAGATAGAACTATTGGCATTGGGTAGCTGTAGTTGGAGAGACTTTCCGAAAAAATGCAACCGAATAGATCAGATAGAACGACAAGTTAACGTTGGACAGTAATGCAACCCCAATTAAAATCGAGCATGCAGATAGACTAATTGCAGAACGACCGTACGTTCACCAGATAGGGGGACATGGTATGTAGGGCGAAGCAATTGCAATGGGGTACCGCAGCTTAGACCGTTTGTTGTGGACAGGGCGTAGCATCAACAAATTATATTCGTTGAATCAACAGCAGGGTAGGCGCGATCTGAAGGCCGTGGGTCAGTCCAGTCTGATCTAGCGCGATGGGCAGCATAACAAGCTGACAATAGAAGTCGACTTAAGAAGGAAACGTAATGTCCAAACCTACGATAATAGCGTAACCGGTTAATGCCAGTCAAGTTGCAAAGGCGTACTTCTAACGATATCGGTGGTCGCAAATAGTACAAATATTTGTTAACCTAGGAAGGTAGCTTGGACGTAGGCCTTCCAAAAATTATTTCAGGGATGCGTCGTACTGCTAGGTAGTACTAAACGAAAACCTTTAATCAAGAGACAGGCACCTCAAAAGTGTCAACGACCTCCCTTCGTTTGTCGCGTCTAGTCCTTGAAACTACCAGGGCCACAAGCACGCGTGCACGCCTCGTCGCCTCATCAGCGAAGTTTTGTAAAGGGTTTTGCTTACGTACATGATTAATCCGAGGCGGCCAAGTTATACGTACAGCTTCAACGTATACTACGATAAATGTTGAGCGAGATACGGTGCAAAGCAAATATTCCAAAAGGAGTCCTAAGTCTTTACTTAGCTAATCCTTGAAACGAGCTAATTACGTGTATGCTGCTGTTTTTTTTAATGATATTTAAAAAATGGTCGTATGGAATATGCTAACGAAAACGATGTATTGTATAGTCGGGGACTTACTAAAATGAAGACTATGAGCGAAATTTAGCTTTGGGATCATAATTTCTTGTTATTTAACATAATAATATGGAATCAGTCACAACTCGAAAACAGCAATAAAACCTTAAAAACAAACTGATGACTTGTTCTGATGATATAGAATCACACTCCGAATAAATGCGATTCTGTAAGATGTAGACCTTTTATTCCGCAGTCATTCCATGTTGAACAAGCGGTCTCCTCGTTCGCTTGAAAGATCAACCAGACGCGTTTAGCTAACTGTTTCCTTCCAACAGAAAAACATGCTAACAAAGATGTGCGTCCGAGATATTTGCTCCAGACAACGAAACATCGACGACTATGGCAAAGAAGACTCGATGCACTGCCGCGGCCGCTGAAAAACACAGGCTTAACCATCTAAGCTACCATTTGCCTTCCTTTCGTAACCTGATGTTAGTGCAGCGGGACCATATATGTCCGTACTTAGTTTCTGAGTGTCTCCGGTGTTATGTGAATTGGTCATGATACATTAGGCTGACACAGCTCAATATTCGAGCAGGCGCAGAAAAAGCGCTTGAGAAATAAGATGTAGACAAGCGCATATAGGCCAGACATTATGGTATTAACGGGCGACAATTGTTAAACTGTAACTTATAAGGTGTCTTGTCTCAAAAAACTTCAGTCCACATTGACTAAAATACGATAAATCGAATTTTGTACATGCAGAATAAAGAGTAGCATGAATTGGTTACATTGTGCTAGAACTGTTTGAGAACTTGCGATGTATCTCTAAACTAACTGACGATAAATTTACGTCCTGGTCGGGCCTAGCTATTTGGGTACGAAATTTACTTTATGCTACTAATTAACTTAATTATTGATTAATGAAGCATTAGTACAAATGTTTGAAAATTTTGTTCTGGCATTTGGCATTATATTAAAAAATTGGTTACCGTGCGCGAAATAACGTTCTAACGGCTTAGGGAAAAACAATTACTTCGTATCCAGTATCAAATGTTCTGTCACAGGGCCTGGCTCGATGCATTCGTATCGCTACAAATACGACGCTCTCCAAAATCCCAATTGTATTTATAAGTAAGATACATTATTTCACGTTACGTTTTAAGATTAATTTTATTTTATGATGACAGCAATGATCAAAAACGTGCTAGCCGAAATGTTGATCGCGGGATCTCATGCACTCGAACATGCGTTGTTGAACTTTAGCAGCTGTTTTTCTTTGGCTGGCTATCACAAAGCCAGCTTCGCAGTCCCCAGAAGCACTTTGTTTTTCTTTAAGAGATTTCGCAAAGATTCGATTGGTGTTTGGCTTTCGAGACTGGGCTCGATAGCACAGCGCTCTTGAAACACATTACAATCGTACTTTGATGAGCCGTTGTACGTAACGGGAAAGGTTAACTAGATATCACCTTTTGTCAACGTATTTGTCTGGAAAAACAAGCAAGTTCGTAGATATGAACTTACAGGTGTAAGTCTCATTTCCGGCTGATCTTTTGTTGGATAGGTAGCTATCGTTAACTGAAAAGTTCCCTCAAAGATACTTCTACACATTATACTGTACTTGCTTCTTTCCTAAGTACTCTTGACTCGGCAGTAGTAATTCGTAGGCCATCAGAGCGCCACTAGCTGTTGCCAAAAAAATTGTTAAAGGAAACACTAGGACCCATTTTCAACCGAATCAAAACAAGTCTGAGGGACTACCAAGTTCCGCAGCAGCAGCAAACTTTCATCCGTACTGATCAATGTAAACTTGGATAAACTTACTGCTGTGTCGACTTCTGTTTTGTTGTCTCGACTCAATAAGACTCAATAGATTGTAAGCCTGTTGATTTCTTTTTCAACACAAATATAGATAAGAAGATAGGCAATATTCAACACGATTAAGGGACACCTCGAGAAGTATCCCTAAGCAAGCTTTTATTTTTAAGCTCTAAACCAAGCCTAGATTCTAAACAAAGGAAAAGGCTAGCGAATAGGCAATCATTCATAGCATTTTTCGCGCAAAAATAAATACTTGTTGTTAAAAAAGTAAAATGTTGAGATGACAAAAGTAACACCACGAAATCATCAGTGGCACAGATCTGCGCGTAGAGGCCAAGCACCATCTGAACGAGAATTAGCAGTCTTAGCTTATTTGGCAAAGCTTTCGAAATCAATGGTAACAAAGTAATCACCGACAAAAAGTTTTGCCACCATCTGGTCAGCTGACAGGATTAGTTTACCAATTCTAACTCTGTTGCCCGTTCAGTCGGGAGGTAATTAGGAGAATATACTAAATGCTGGATTAAAGTTAAACTACTTAACTATGTAGTTTCCACGCAATAACATCTCTGTCTACAAGGTTTTCCTTGGAAACGAGCTTTCACATATTTCAGACAACTTTTGAGATGGTATATATTTCTCAGACCCTTTGTTAAAAAGGAAACACAGCCGTTTGTACAGCCGTTAGCATCGTAAGTTGTTCCTATACGTTTACCTTTGTCGTTTCCTGAACTCGATTATACAACGAACAAAATAAGTAAAAGCTGGTTTAGTTTAGTAGTGCCCGTTACTCGATGACCAGTTTACGTGTTATGAACAGCGGCCTCTCAACAGCTATCTCTAAATACAATTGCGCGTCTTAGGTTCGATTCTAAATGAGTCACGTGTGTTCATTATATTATAATTCTATTTTGTGTTCAATAGTTTGTGGTAAGAATTTGTTTAAAATGTAATCAGGGGCCTCTTTCTGATAGACTAAAAATGGATTAGCTTTTTAATCTCTCGTTGATTTTTTCGTTGACTCATGCAACTCTGTCGTAAAAAAAACGTCTTGTGTATATATTTACGTAAGCACTTACAAAGAGAATCATAGGTGAAGAGACGCCTACAGCGGCGATTGCGGTGCCTGTGATCAGAATTTGTACCGTTCGCGACTTCAGTACGCCAAAATCAAAAAAAGGCGGCTTTTCAATAGCCGGATTTTTATCCTTTGCTTTTGACCTGTGAACAAATGAGAGAACGATCTAGCGTTAGCTTCTTAAATGGTAAATATAGCAAGTAAATACTAACTTCGCATGGAAACATCGGATACCGGGAACGATCAACGGACCCAATTCCGATATTTCTGGTGGATCCGTTTTGAAGGCTTGCATAGTCAAAAGGCAAAAAGAGGTTGCTGGCTGCTTTTAGGTACCCCAAGTCATAAAACTAGTTAAAGTTGATCCTGTAGGTAAACATAATTCACAAGGCTTTATCTAATTCTAACTCCGACTTTTTGTGTACGGACAATATAGCCAGGTGTGTCTCCTTAGTTCGATTTACAATTCTTTTATTCTTAAATAGTTAGTTTTACATAGTTATAGATGCAAAACATACACTCAGATAGAAACTACGATGATAATGATCACTTGTTCTTCCCAAACCGCGTTACACATGTGAAGAATGTTTTGTATTACGTAAACTATAATAAAGATCTCAAGACATATCGAAAACGCACTACATTCGAGGCAAAGTGGGTTAAATAGGTCTGGCGCTCCGTGGCGCTAGAGATCGCTGGAACTCGTTGAAGCTATACAAAAATTTGCAGGTTAGTAATTTGTCACAAAAGCGCTATAATGGATAATTTTATTTAGATCCAGCGGTAACAGCGTGCTATGAAGGCCATGCATAATCCGCATCATGCGGATACAGGGGAGTATATGTTCAGGATTTATTGAAGTTCTGAACGACCATTGCATGATCGTTAAAACTGTGCACTCTCGGAAAATCGGAGGGCATGGGTCTACTGCGAGAGGCAAGACATCCCTGTTCCTGGAGTGCACAAATCCAGAGGCATGCAAGAGCCCTAATCTGTGAGCTAGAAGGATCACAAAACCTAATCAAAACCTTGACAAGGGCAATAACAAGCACGAGACAGTTGTAATTCGTCAGAATCTTAGGCTGCCGAAAAATGTCGGCTTGAAAAGTCATAACGTTGGAAAATCGATTTAAGTTTATCAGAGGTTGTACGAGTTAGGCATATGCATACATTAAATAATATGGAAAAATGAAAGTACACTGAACGCTCTTTTAATTTATCATTACCTGTGTTTAATTTCAGACAGATTATTATATTAACAACCTAATATAAAGTTTATATATGTTACACTGAAGACTCTAAAGCTTTATTTTTATTAAAACAAAAAAAAAAAACACGCTTCATCTTGTTAAATTGTTGATTTTACTTCGACAGTTACTGTACCGTTTGGCTGTAGCTTTGAATAAACTTAAAACGTTAAATATTACCACTTCGAGCTTTTTAAATAGGTAGTTTACCATTCGTAGACATAAACGCTCTGTATAAATCAAAATTGCTACTATAGGAACTTCTATGTTGGGTATTCACATGGGCTGAGCGCTTTTTGTCACGATACTACTAACCTTTTTTGCATGCTTTTTAGGTGAAGGATGGCCCGCCGCTGAGGATGATAGAGGGAGGCCGGTCTGTAGAAGATACCAAGGATGAACGTACTAAACACAATTCCTGTTAGAGCCTGTAAACCCAACCGCCAACCAATCGAGCTGAAAGAAATCGATCAGTAGCAATGGACAATGAGCAGCGCACCCAGTTCTCCTAGGAAAAGCTCTATGGATGGCGCAATTTATCTGGTTTGTTTTTGTCTTTCTTCGTCTGATTCGCTAACTTCATACGAGTTTACGCACTAATTAAACAAATTGAACTTTTCTATAATATGCGAATGTATGAATTATACACATGTCTATACAACACTGTCTAATGTCTAGGTTCAACATAAAGCTAACTTTGAGTAGAGATTTCAACCACTTCTTAGCAGTTTTAGAAACTAATTTGACTAATGAAATTCGGTGAAACATGTTTTTACAAAGAACCTTATCTAAAAGCGAAAAGCAATTTCGCTTTTTTCTTCTTCTTTGACTTGAATTTATTTAGCCTAATACGTACGTATGTATTATAGCATTTCAGTTATCGGGTAGAAATGCATCTAGCTAAAATGACCCACAAATATAGAACCTTTATCATCTGTTGCTAATATCGACACCCCTCAATAACCGTTTTTCGATT